TCGGTCTTTTTTGTACGGACCTCGCTGTGCTCGGTCCGTACTGTCAAGACCTCGGGTCGATATTCTCCCAGTACGGCCCTCGCGCTTGGTGAATAAGATATATGTATGGAGCACTGTAACACCCAAAAATCGAAATGTAGACTTCCTATTTATATACATACATATATATTTCCTGGAATTAGCAAGTCCAAAATTTTTTAAAGATTGCACCCGACTGGTTGCAGCCATCAGTGGCCAATGAGAAAACAACGAATAGCGTTTAATCTAGTCAAATTGAATCATTCATCGCGTTACGAAAAATTGATTCACGTATTATTCATCCATTTGTTCTTGACAACCTTTCACCGTATTTGCAAAAATGTGTCGTCACGCTTCTGAACAAAGGATAGCGCTAATAAGTTATCCGTATTGCGAAAACGAAGAAGCTTCTCGTTCGTTTGCAATCGCAAATGTGGCTAAAAATATCACGGCACAGTTAAATGGAATATTGATTTCGAATGTGACAGACATTTGCCCTTCGGCAGGAAATGAAAATAAATTGTTCCGGAAAATCAAACGCGAAGCGTAAGCCTTTCGGCTCTGAGCTAAGCATTTAATTGGTGCATGTGTGTTGATATTCCTATCACTCCCTCGCCTATGCAAATAACAAAATTAACATTTGTTTAATATTTCAATAGATGTTATTAGGCTTTACTTGCGATGAGGCAAACAGTATTCAATACCACAAAAGCTGGAAAAACCATTACAATCAAGTTAAACAGTTCGATAAGAAGGAACTATTTCTTCGCCATTTTCGAAATACCAAAATGGTTGAAGTGACTTTGCACTTTATCATTCTAGCCTGTATGTCGATCCTCATTGTGGTTGCCAACATCATCGTTTGCGTATCTGTTATAAAAAACGTTCGACTCCGCACTTACACAAACGGGTTTCTCGTGTCTCTAGCCGTCTCAGACATTTTCACTGGTGGACTCTTCTTTCCTGTTCACCTCGGTGGGCCACATTCGCCTGTAGCCTTCACAGAGGACTACTTGATTGCTTTCGTTCTGTTAGCTGGTGTTGGAAATATTTGTCTGGTCACATGGGATCGCTACGTTGCTGTTGCTAAACCGTTCCAGTACAAGGAAACAGTGAGGAAATACTTCACAAAGATGATCATCGTTATTTGGGCAACTTCATTACTCGTTTCCCTCTTACCCTTGGCTTGGAAGACAAATAATAACATCATCATTCACAAAGTGTATCTTTTTTGCTTAATGGGATTTTTTGTCGTCATCCCGTATACAGCAATATTTCTCGCTTATTTCAAAATTGGCCAGCGTCTGAGGAAACACCAACAGAAAATTCGCAAACACCCAAAAGCAAATGGTTCTCCCTCGTACAAAAGAATGAAAGCAGAAGCTAAAGTCGCCAAGATTTTTCTCGCTATTGTAATAATATTTGTGTTGTCGTGGTTGCCGATCATTTATATGACAACAGTTGTCAGTTTGAACAGGGAAAATTTATCACCACTCGCTCTTCAAAAGGCGTCCCTCTACACCGTGGCACTTTCTTCCTTGGCAAACCCTTTACTTTACGCATTTGTAAAAGAGGACTTTCGGCGGCAGTTTAAAAGACGGTCAGCGCGCCAAGGGAGAGGTTCTGTATCTACGGCTGTTAGTAAAATGAGGGAGGCAGCTTGTACGGAGGCAGCGTGTAAGACAGAAAAAAGGCCCGCAAAAAAACAGTCGTTTCCATCGACGTTTTCTCCTCACAGGGATAAATGGGTTTGAGAAAGGGAGTAAAAAACTCACAAAAGGCATTCCCTACACGTGTACATGATGTTGTAGCAGAAGAATTCCAGTGAGTTTCGAATAAATTCACGAACTCGTGGGGACAATCCTTTATATTATTCCCAGTCGTTCGAAAAACAAAGCATACTTTGTTTCCTCATCAATAATCAGCCAGCCACATACTCACAAAACAAAAGCAGAACAAGCGCGTAGATAGACCAATCATTTTTGCTCAAAGGAATTCTACAAAATATTTGGATAATATATAAGCGGACTTCGCCAATAGACAGGTGTTACCTTTATACGTCATTGGCGAGCGGAAGCAAGCACGAGGCGAGGTGAGGATTGAGTTACGCGCGTGTTTCCTGTTTCGCGCTCGTCTCGCGCCCGTGTCGCGCTCACCTCGTGTCCGCCTCTTGCTAGCTTCGTTGCTAACTCTCGCTTGCTTCAACACGTTCGAAGACTAACACCTATTCTGCCGGCGAATTAACCCTGGAATGTGTTACCAAGAGGTTTTCACAAATCTCTAGCAAGATTGGAAGGTGAGTAAAAAATACTTCATTTCCGACATGCCCAACAAAAATAATATAAAAATCTTACAGCAGCTTGACTTAGCTCGAGATTTGTCAGAGAGTAAAATATTTATTGATATTGAATAATGATAGGAGGGAAAATGAGGCTTCAATTTACTGGTCTGATTTCAATAATCGAGGCGAAAAAGCGTCAAAGGACAGTCACTTGGTACTCAATTATGAATTTGGTACAATTGCCTTATAGCTTACACTTGCGAAGAAAAAACCATTCATTAATGGATTTGTCTTCAGGATGCGACAGGCTTGTCATCACTTCAAAACCATAATTAGTGATTTCTTGCAGAATCGCTGTAGTGGAGGAGTCCGCTTGTTCTTTATCGAACGAGAATACGAGAGGACTACAAATACAGTCGTATCCTTTAAATATCTCCTGTAAGATGTGCTTCTCGGCGAAAACCGTCAGCAGCGTTTCTAATCCGTGCCTATCTCTATCCAAAGTTATTCGAATCACTTGAATCCTTCCCACAGGACTACTCGACTTGGTGTTTTTTACGGCTTCAATGAGACGAGGAATTTGATAAAAATCGGCTTCCTCGGCGAGTTGATCAAATTCTTGAAAATTGTCAGGTAAATTCAACTTGGAAGAGCGCAAGAAATTTAACACATAGCGAAACATCGGTCCGTCACGATCGATGAAGAAATTTCCTCGGGAATCTTTCGCCACTGGCCGCCGTCCACTAAACATGACCCCTAACATGGAGTCTGGAAATCTTGTGAGGCTTGCTAGTGATGTGGTATAAACGTGGCCTCCAACGTTAATGTCAATTATGGATGGAAATTCTTGAACTTTGTCCATTCTTCTCAAGCGTGCTGTGAAAGAGAAACCCCCTGCGAAAGAGAAACCCCTACGCGAGTCAACTAACCTTATTTGAGGTAACCACACTAGCAATTTTAAGTTATCGTTCTAAAAATATCTGAGAACTCCGTATAGTAATCAAACATTGCGGTGAACAATTTTCAGAGAGGATTACTGAATATGTAAGCTGCAATAACCTTTTTGGTGGTCAGATTGGATAATCTGACTTAATGACGTTTCGCTTTTGCCAGAAAATAAAAAGAGCTCACATAATCGACCAAGAAATAACTTGAACTTACTTTAAATTCTCAGAAGCGAACACCAGTGGAAAAAGTTGCCGAGACAGTAGCCACGTTTTAATATGGCGACACTTCCGATTGCGAGAAACCGTCATATAAAGTTTCATCGAGTGTGTCATGTTATTCGCGTCTCGTCACGCCAGGTTTCTGAATTAGGAACGTTTCAGCCACTATGCATGGCATTAATAACACACTTTATTTAGTCTTCACTTCTTGTCTTCTCATGTTGGAGTCGTAAATTTGACATTTCCGAGGTAGAAAATAAAGAAAGGAAACCAAATAGAAAAAGAAAAGGAAACGAGGAAAACGAAGAAAAAAAAATTAAATATTGGACTGCCCAAATCAACGTGAAATCGGGTTTAGAAATGTACCTCGACGTGTCAAATTAGAATAAAACGATCCGTCTCAAAAATACATTACTGTAATAAAGCACTTTCAGAATTCGAAAGGAGCTCATCATTTCTCGGAAACCTCTCGTAGGCATTATGGAGTCCCACACGTGTATTCGGTGTGAAATGCCATTTCTTTCGGAAAGCCACTCGTCACTCGAGCGGTATAATGGAAACGAGTCCAGAAAGGAGGCGTAAAGGAAAAGCAAATCAGACTTTCAGAACACTTCTCGACACTCTGAGATCAAGGAGGACATCAATTATACCAATGAACAGTACCCTTATTAATGTACCTCGACAAATGTTGACTCTGATAAGCAAGCAAGGCAATTGTCCGTTAACATAAAAAAATACAGAAGATGACTGACAGAAAAAAACATCCTGAAGACTGAATACTGCGCAAATAATTTCCTACCTCAGCCTGTTCTCCCAAATTTTTTGAAGGACAAAAACATATTATCAAAATTTCCAGTAAAAAAAAATTAAGGCAAGAAGAAAGCAAAACACCTCGCAGAATTCTACGCGCACCTACCCCAACATTGGGGGTTGGTTGAAGGAGACAGCTGGAAATATTGTGCGCCAATGCGACAGAAGTAAGAAGGACGTAACGATGAAGATTGCGTTCTCCGTCAAAACAATGTTGCAATGCAAAACATACTGCGAGCTTTCGTAGTAATGGGTCAGTAATGAATCCCTTGAGGAAATGTATCAAACTCAAGGGAGACGCAGACCAGGCGAGAGGAAATTCAGAATGCGATATGCTATCGGCGCAGTAGTTAATTATATTCTAAAATTTTATATTTGTCATTGTTTACTTTCAATTCCTTTTAATGTAAAGGTTCAGTTATGTTTCCACGTGTTATATTTCAATATAAGGTATTGTATTACCTTTCCGATTCACCTGCAATATCTGTTTAGGTACAATGTTAACCGCTCCCAACATAGCGCTAATGCTACTTACATAGCTACTCAGTATATTGATTTGGCAATTCATGTTTATAGTTAGACATGTCAAAAGACGAGATGTGCCTTCCTCAGAAAAGTTAAGTGATTTCAAAGTCTACCATTCAATATAAGTTCTTTCGTTAAAAAAGTTTCATGCAAGAGTCTTCCTTTGAGGCATTACTTACGAACAAATACCCAGGCTTGACTTGCGTGACCATCTAAAAAGAAATTTGACATCTTGACCTCAAAACCCTCCTTGAGAACATGTTGTAGAAAAGCATCTAACTGCTCCAATTTAATCGGGACTTTAGCTTGCCCTCCTTCCACGATTCCATTGTTTGTGCTGAAGTTGTAGGCAGAGCCGCTTAGAATATTCCCACCCAACATCCGCACATTAGGAACGAGCCTTTGAATAACCGCCAAACCACCAGCCAACACTAGCTGGGTCTTCGAGCTGTAGAACAGCCGTAGAATCTCTGGGCCGGAGCTAATGGGCTTTCTGTTTTTCTTCGCATTTTGAACCTCTTCTTCAAACGGTTTAATCCCATAGTAAGTGGCTTCGATCTCAAGCTGTTCGAAATTCTGAAAGTCGTCTGGAAGGATTAATTTTTTCGTGCGCAAGAAGTTGAGGACGTGTTTAAACAGCACACCATCCCTGTCTATGAAGTAGTTCCCTTTCTGATCCCTGGGTACTTGGTTCTCTGAACTAATAAGCTTCCCTAGTTTTGAGTCGGAATACTGAGTGACAGTGTAAAGCGTTGTGGTGTAAATATGGCCACCAACATTAAGACCCACCACTTTTGGAGGTTCAGCCATGCTGGGTTATTTCGAGACAGGAGACTGAAGGCTTGTGTAAACTGCACAAGTTGTTTCTAGTGAAAGGACAGACGAACTGATACTGTTCACAAATGAAGCCTACCTTAATAAATATTTCCAAAAGTCACGTGAACTGTAGTACATCAGTCGAAATCGGTCTTAGCTGTCACGTAAAGTTTTTTAAGCTTCGTGCCTTGTCATGCGGATCACGCGCGTAATATATGCTTAGTACTCAAATGGACCCATCAAGCGCACGATGCAACTTTTAAAGATTTCCCTAAATTTTTTCTTCATTTTTCGTTCGGGTTAAAACTAGATAAACGTTCTATCCAGCATGTCCTGATCTCCGTTGAAGTGATACTGTGCGTACAAGGCCTTTATCAACAAATGGTTATCGTTTTAAATGAGTACTATTGCCCACAAGTGAAACGAGTGAAGTTGATTAAGTACTTGTGCTATAGCTAAACGCAGCTAAACGAATCGTTGAAGTAAACTGGTCTTATAAGATCGTCTTGTCTCGAGAAAAGATTAGGCTCTCGTAAACTGAACAAAATGGTACAATTTATAACCCAAAATTTTGATCACTATATCCACATCTATCAATGACTAATGAGTTAAGTTCGAAATTACTGACGTAACTTAATACCAATTTTTAGACAATTTCTAATCGCTCAATATCTTGAGTATGTTACATATTGAAATATATTGAAATAATAACATTCTAATTTTACGCCCACATTCTTCAATCTTCCCGGAACATAAACAAAATAGAAACAATTTCAGTTTAATAGCCATTTGAGATGGAGATCATCTGGCTTATCAAAATCTCACAGGTTCAAGGTGTGAAGAGCCCCAATATTTCAAAAGACTTCTATGTCATATGCGCTTTTTTTAAGATTCTTAAATTTTCCACGATAAGTTAGTGTTAAAGGAAGAGTTTTATCTCCCCCATTACGATCACACTCGTACAAGGAGGGTCGTATCGGCTTTTATCTGAGAACTGTCGAGATACCATGATGGTCTATCCGGTGTGATACTTTAACTGGAAGGCGAGGGCGATTCTTCTTCCCAATAAACGTGACTTATTCTTATGAAAAAAATCACAACCTCTCGCCATCATTGGTAGAGGGTCTCAGTGGGCTGATGGCTTTTACGTTTAACGGTTAAAATTTTGGAAATTTTACGGCTAACGGTTGACTTCCTTCCTTCCTTTGTGATTAAAAGAAATATTTTTTTACAAAACCTAACACTGAATTACTCCGGAAAATGATTTATTCACACACTTTCACTGACGGAGTCATTCAAATATATAATCAGTCCAATCCCGTGCAAGTTTCAAAGCCACGAGAGAAGCAGTGTATCATGCATATTCAACTCGGTGAGAGCTAAAGCAACTGAGTTCAAGTAAACTTACGGTGAGCTTTTGTTTTCGTCACCATAGCAGGTTCCTACATGTCTTTTAACTAATTCTGGGTACACACACATTGTGTCAGATTTTTGGTAGGCGAACCTCTATGTACTTCTTATATGTTGGTTCCTGGTCTGTTACGAAAGTACGCTTATGCTTGCTACTCCCAGCCTCCCTCCTCATGTATTTCAACGTGTCAACGGGAATGAGCGGCAGTTCGAGGACGCTTCTACCCTGGCGACTTTGATAAAGATCAGACGCATTATCTATGTGCTCAATCTGACTGTGCTGCATCATAACTTGCACCAGATCCGGTGCAACAAGTCTTCTTGGTGTAACTTCTAATCCCGGAAACTCTACAGACTGTCTTTTGACAATTGCATTACGCTGCTCCGTCAAACAGCATTCCGCACAGGGGCCAATTACATCACAATATTCACGTCCGAACGCGCACTTCGAATGACGTTCAGTAAATTTCGTGTGTATACTGCTCAGGCTCATTCGATGGGAGAGGAAACCACCGCAAGCAGTGCATTTCGGCTGATGTGAAAATTTCCTCGGTTTCTTCGTATCCTTTATAGTGTCGTGTGTTCGCGTCTCGCTCGGCTTAAGTTTGTGTTTGTGCCAAAATTCAATACCGCCTGAAATTTTATCCGAATACGTTTGGAAACGAAGTTTTTCTCTTGCGTTGACTTGCGACGACGTAGGCATCCATTCCCTGCCTTTTCCAGAGGAAGGATGATCATCGAAAAGCTTTGGAAGTGTTGAACGTTGAAAGCATTGTCTGTGAGGCATGTTTTCAACTCGCTTTCGATATTACCACTTGGTCGTTTGCCATCATTATTCAGATTATAATTAAATTGGTTAAGTTGATAAATCAGCACGTGTTTTAGAAAGCGTTGTTTTAGCACTTTTTACAATGGAAAGTAACTAGATTTGGCGACTACTTCATCTGAAAGATGACCACATCGCGTTTTTCCTTATTTCCTCGTTGTTCTTGTTTACTAACCCGCAGTGCACTTCTCCTAAGTTACCGACTAATTACAATGCACTACTTAGGCCCAAGGCGATATTTGCAATCAATCTAAAATGACCATTCACTAAAAGGTCACGCTTGACAGAGGCCGGATTAAAAGGCTTTGTCCGAGAATACAATGTGCCGTTGTCAACAACGTGGAGTGGTCGGAAAGGAAATCTAGAGGGGAGGTATAGAGGGAAAATCGAATACAACTGATGGAAAATTTGGGATGATTGACCAAGCTTGGAAGAGGGGAGGAAGGGTTTTTCTTGTTTTCTCCCCTTTCCCCCTCCCTCGCCTTGTTACTCGTTCCATATCTTCCACCCGTCCAATGTGGCGGCCGAATATTACCCACGCTGAATTTCGCGCTTGAAAATATAAACTACCGCCTGCAAATCCGCGGCAAGAAGGCTGATCTTGCACGCTCGGGTAGCCAGTCAGAACACAGGATTCGCTTCATATCTCATCATGTTGCCCACGAGCACTGCCAGCGATTAGCCTGTGTACAGCCGCCCCGTCCCCTCAAAAACATCGGGATTTTTTTTTAGGGGATGGGGCGGCTGTACACAGGCTACCAGCGATATGATAAGAGAGATTACAACCCTCTCTGCACGAGATCAAAGTATTGTTTTTAAAAATCTAAGGCACGCGAGGACCAGATCTACACCATTAATATTTAACTATTGAATTCGAAGAATTAGGGGCCAGCTTTCCGGTTTATCAGCCCTTTTTCAATCAGTAATTTTCTACAAAGATTAAGAGAAAACTTTTCATAGCTGTCTTTTCCCTAGCCTACTGAATGGCTGAGAAGTTTTTTTCATTCATCAGGCGAAAGGAGGTTCGCCACTCGGTTTGTACTTGACTGCAACATAAACTTGCCGGCTTTTTAGTGGGGTATTCCAGCCGACTTTACACTTTATCGTGACACGTCTTTCGGTAGAAAAGGTCAGATTTGTCTAAACCATACCCGGCAAGTACCAGGAATGTTAGCTATTTGCAAAGCAGGCCGGTGGTGTAACATAAGCTATGCGTGATTGAGTGACTGAAAGACTTGTTTTGTTGCGGCACTGTCTGAGAAGACCTGGGAATGTAACGTTTAATTAAGTGAAAATCAAACATCGACACTTGATCCTATCAATTCTGATTACTAAGAGATCTTAGAGTTGTTAAGTGTGCACATCTCTTGGCCGACGTGGAATTTGAAGACATTTCAAAACGGAGTTTGTGGTAGACATTGTAATCAGCACTCACTTGTCTTGCTGTTTATCCGCCCCTTGGTATGAATATGGCTAAAGCTCAACATTATAAAAACTGGCGTTCAAACTCGAAAGAAGAAACAAAAATCAACGGGGAAAGACAGACAAGAAACGATGAGAATTGCAGGCAGAAGGGATTATCTTTAGCACAGATTCGTCGTAATTTTGATGGCTCCCATGATACGAAGAAGAAATTAGAAAGAATTAGACTGCCGCCTATTCAGGCTCGAAACAAAAGACGTCAGTGCGTCAGATCTGTCTCTGAGAATCTTAAGCGGGAAAGCGGGAAAAAATTCAATGAATCATCGCCAGAGACCACTCCGGCTCGCCAAATAATGCCAAGAGGTTTTGAAGAGTTCTGGTTACAGTACAAATCGTCTCTTGCAATTCGATCGTCAACAATTTTTCCAGACATTGATGCGTTGTCGATTGAGATCATCCGGCAGCAAAACCAACCTCGCGTGGTTCTGCCATCCCTACGGTTAAACAAAAACAAATGACTTCATTAATCGTGAGCCAGTTTTAGGAGTTTTCCTGTTTGAAGACTCAGACGGTACCTGTATCTGTAGAGCCAGTGGGGTCCTGAAATTAATACCACAACTTATATTTCAAACAGTGTCAATGTAAAAAGGGGGTAAGTTTCTAAAGAAATTGTGTTGCTGCCTCGGTGGGAGTAACAAGGTCAAATGAGTTGATAAAGTAAATTGGTCACTGTAAAGAGTTTCAAAGCTGACGTTTCAAACGTTACTCTTCATCAGAGCCAAAGTGTCAATAGATACTCAGCCAAATTAACCCTTTCCCTACTATGTGCTAATTAGGCCCAAATCCCCCTGTTCCTGAATACTTAATTAGGCACCACCAAGGCTTTAACACAAAATCATAACATACATGCTCAGTAGCGCTAATGACTGAGGGATACACATTTTGAATTACTTTTACGGCACACTTTAATGCTAAAGAAATCACTTAGTTAAGAGACACTATCTACCCAGCAAAGGGTTTTAAGTTGAGGCGCTATGAATTTCTTTTTACCCACAATAAAGAGAGATTTCTAAGTGTAAATTCGGCTTGAGTTGAATCAGTTTGCTCCTCATGAGTGGCGTAAGGATCGTTCATAAAAGTACCCAAGTACATTCGGTGCCGTATTTGTAACGCACCCCTGTGTTTTCTACTCATATTTATTATGGGCTGCAGTTTAATAGACGCACTACTGGATTAATCGGGAGGGGCGGGTGTACTCTAAAAACCCGGTGACTAGACTTTGCCTGAGACGTAAATATTATTTAAACAGCGATAAAATATCAGATGAGCTTTCACGCGAAAACGTTATACCTTCACAAAGGAAAATAACATGTTATCTTCACACGTGAAATGACACCGTTACAAAGGTTACATAATAAATCGTACCTTTCGCGGCACAAGTGATTGGTTTGGTTTTTCAATGGTGTTTATATAATAAAGAGAATATTACATGGCCGCCTAGAGATACGAAATTTCTCTTCTCGTGATAAAAATATTTTTATGTTATTTTTTTAAACATCCTCAACAGATGGGGGAAGGGGAGAGAGGGTAAGGAAGAGGATGAAGGAAGCGGAGGAGCCCTGTTAGCATATGGGCCGCCTTTGGTCAAGTTGTCGATTTTTGTTGTTGTTGTTAGTTTTTGTTTTTCATTCCAAAAGTGCACATGAATATCATACCTGTTTCCTCGCCTCCCAGTTTTGATGATTTGATTGTACTGGCCTTTGTAGGCTGGACTTTTGAATGTCCTGCTGTTGTTTAGCTTAGTTCTTAGAGGTTTAGGAAACAGAAATTGTCAGAAGGACAATGATTTTCGTTATGTGGGAAAGTTTGTTTTCCGAAAGAGGCCCTTTTTAATTTCAGGCGCCAACACTCGGTTCGCAAACAACAAATTCAAGTTGATAATTAATCTTCAAAAGGTAATTGCAGGCCGTTGTATGCATCCTAAAGAAAAGCGATAACCTAACGCTATGAAAGTCTTGACAAAGAGATAACTATAACATGGGCGAGGCCAGACCTTCAACTTTCTATAAGCTGAAAGAAATAGAAACTAAGAAGGAAACCGTTTCAGGCTGAGAAAACTTAACAAAGGCTCATCGCCTGTGTTTTTGTGAATAGTAAGACCCGCAGTTACCCTAGAGTCTTCAATTTAACCTGAGCGAGTTCCCCTTTATAACCCTTGTCCAGTACGTATTTCAGCAGGAGACTCATCTTCCCTTGGTTCAGGCTTTAGGACGTTTAGCTTATTGTCTAAAGTTAAAACATCTATTTTAGCTTTGTATGCTGCGCTAAGTTCAGGGCTCCTCTTGCCCACGCAAACTCTTTCTCTACATTTTCAAGACGCTTCCAAAGTTCCTTAATGTCTTGATGTAAAGCTGCAATTTTCTGGTCGTTTGTTCCAGTCGACTCATGTTCTTCGTGTTTTACTGCTAATTGGTAGTTTTCCTCCATATCCTGGGCCATTTCAGATGCATTTTCATGTATGGTACACAGCTTTGGAAAAAAGCCTAGAACTCTATGCCTTTGAGCTCCCAGGTTCGCACGCTTCTGTCTGAGGATGAAACAGTCTGATAAACGTTTTAACATTGCATTTCTATTATTTTTCCGTTGCAAATTGTTTTCGCTCGGAAAATTGGCATCAGGTCCAATATCATCATCTTCAATGCCCCATTCGCCATTATCCTCTTGTTCAATGGTAAATGCAAATTTACCGTCTTTAATTTCGTCGCTTTCCTCAGGTGCACCATTTAGGATCGATTTGGTTTCTCGAGATTTCTTTGCAACAGGTGACAGTGGCAGCATCATGCCTCGTGCATAATACTGCCGCGATGCCTCTCCTATTTGATCTCCTCTGTCTTAGACGAACGCCGCGCGCAGTTTCCTGACGCGACACGGTCACCTTGACACTCAATCAATGGAGTGATGCTTTTAGCCTGTAATTATATGGCTGACCCGAATGATAAAGAAAACTGCCAATTTTTACATTCGACGAGGATCTGGCGGAGATCAGAGTAACACTTGATTCTTATTTCTACCTGCCGTAGGAACTCAGCGTGGCTGAAATCCTTAAATCCAACCAGAGCTCTCGAACGATTGGCTCAGCTGAACTTACGTCGATTGGAACAGTTACACAAAGTCTACAAAGCGCTTCAAGGTAGAAAATAAACAATCTTGTATCATGAAAGGTGGGCAACTCGATAAGTAGTCCGCTCAACTCTGTATTTTCACAGTGGCATTAGTCTCAACACTATCACCGTCAGAGATTAGCAGGAAGAATCGCCGAGCTGAGTTCAAACGCGGTTGACCTATTGAACTAGATATCTTCTAGCATTTGAAGTAGGTTCGATTCTCCACACAATAGATACTTGATTATTTTTCTCATACGGTAATGTCACCCTTCATGACTTTTCATTGCAGTCTCACCTGCTGACGGTACTTTCAGCTCGTGACTTGTCGGTTACGTCAACGTTCATTCTGGTACAGCGTGCGTCTTACCACAAAATTTAGTAGAGCTGGTTTGTTTATCAGTAAAACTCATTATGTTCATTTGACTTACCTAGCTCAAGCAATTAGTCCATTTAAACTATGGCGTAATTTTCTGGTAATCATTTAACACGAAATAAATTACTTATGCTTTGTTTACTTGGCTGGTGGTGTTAGAGGTAGTGATACGGTTGGTCGAGAGCGTTTTTTGCTTGACATTAACCCGTTGTTAATCTTCTTTATTGTTTTCTCGATAACGCTAAACCAGTTACTATTGAATACTTTGAATACTGTAGAGCCGTAAGAACAGAAAGCCTTCAATTCAAAACAGCCGGAGCAATTTCAAAGAATCTATTAAACCCTTGTTGAAGTTGTTATCCTTCTCTCATAATTCGTTTCATGGTCATCAGAGCCATTTGTGATGCCCCGTATGATAAACTGCTTATTCGATCACAGATATTTTGTTTGCATCAGTGAAGTCTTCTAACCAGCGAAATGTTCTGCTTTGCGTTTAAGAGACTCAAATCATGAAACCCCGAGTGGTCGTCCGATCTAATTACCTCAGTTGATGCAGTATTAGTAAACAAAGTTTGGGCTTAACCTTTGACTGCCATGCAGCACTGCATGATCACTTTAGTCTCGTTTCTGTTTTCAAATACTGTCGTTTAGACAGGTGCAGTGAATTAAGGTAATTACCTACAATGTATGGATAGATCACAAAATCTATCAGCCAACCGAGAAGAAGAGAAAACAATCTCAGCACCCTTTCTTTCGCCTTCTTTGAGAATCAAAGTCACTGAAGGACTCATGTAACGATTAGACGACAATTAAGCCTGAAGCTCGATGAATCCCTCAAGGTGTATAAGTTTCCCTGTTTTCACTCGTCAAATAGAATCTTTTCTCTGATCATTGGGAAACAAAGAAAAAGTAAGCTATAAAAGGCTGAAGCGAAACTTTGGCTGGATAGTGCGAAGATACTTCTTGTATTCAGTTTTAGTATTTCATCAAATGTTACCCCC